CAAATAGAGATTCTTTAATATATTAGGTAATTGGCACTTGAATCATTGTTTAAAGGGAGTCAAAAATTAGTATTCTATATTGTATTATACTAGTATATTACATATCAGTTCTATTGAGAAATCGCTTGGTGCTTATTTTGCGATCTTACAAATTTATTACTATGACAAAGGTTATTTCAACCAGTCCTGTAGGCTATAACCCTAACGTTGCCTAGAAAAATGAACTAGACTATTTTGCTGGCTTAAATATAATTTTCAGATACAGATCTCTGGATAAATTATAATTTTTTTTTTTTTTAGTGAAAACAATAGTACTTCATCTTTCATCAAAAGAATTTGGAATTCATCTTTCATCATCATGATCATGCGAAAAAAATATTTAACAAATAGTTTGGTGATAAATTTTTAGCAATTTATTAGATGGCCTACAATTAATTGGCGGCTATTAGCATCAGTATTAGAATTCACTTGATTGAACTTAGAAATTATATATACGTTGTATTGATATCCTATTTAGTTGTAACAATGCATGTTTATTATGTAAATAAAAAATATTTTAAAGAACAAATTTAATAATAATTAGAATTAGAATAATTCTTACAAGAATAATGATAATTCTTATAAAAATGATGATAATTTCTATAAAAATTCTTACAATAATTGTCATGATTACAAATAAAATAATAATAAACACCAATTCCTTTTAAATAAAAAATTTATATATAAATATGGAGTATAAAAAAGATTGCATTGAGTTAATTTCTTGGTTCTTAACGTTAAAATTTTTAAAATACCGTATTTCTGCGACATGTGTACCCCCCTGTGGACTGTACCCTGCGGCGATTTTGGATGCCAAATCTTGATTTTACCCGGGTATATAAATGTGTGGGTATCATGCTTATATACCTGGGCATGTAATAGTAATATACCGGTATATTAAAAACATAGAAGTGTTCATACGGGTACGTGACATGAACTAGGGGAATACCCTGGGTACACATGTCACAGAAATACGGTAGCTCTGGCCACCCGGCGTTTTTAAGACCAAGCCGAGTTATGAAAACAAAAAATTAACTTAACATGGCCTAAGCAAGAAATGAGCATGTAAATGAAAATCTGGAAATGAATTTTAGTTTTCACAGTGGCGAACTTAGCCCCTGATGAATTATGATATTACGTATTAGCATTAATGGGTTCTGGTAATTTCAGTAATACAATAATATAGATTAGACATTCATATTATCACAATTCTTCAGGTGTTAAACTCGTCATAGTGAAAACTTATAATTCACTTCCAGGTTTTCGTTCTCACACACTCAAATATAAATATTTACACGAACCATATTTGCGATCTTAGTAATAGTTCTAAACTTTACATTGCCGTTTGAATTACTACCTTTAGCAGAAAATAAGATGCCTTTCGCAATGCCTGTATCATTTTATAAGTAAATTAGTAAAATGTTCTACAACATAACACTTAACAGAATCTTAGGGTCAGAAAATTCAAAATACCACTCAATTTTTTTTTTTTTTACGTGCTAACAACTTGAATGGTTCAACTAACATCCACCTATAAAAGAGATGAAATGCATTGAGTCTGATTTTGTAATCTACTAAAAATATATATATAATTTCAAATAAAAACCCTACTTCAATTTGCAAATAACAAAATTAGAGCCTCAGATTTCTAGTTGATGTGAGAATATTTCGTTAAAAAAAAAGTTCAATTCATCACAGTACTTATATAGTAATGAATATCTACTTGGCGCTCTTGATACAGATGCCGAAATTAACCAATTAAATACAACATAATCGATCGGTCTATCTGTTTATGCTAATGAAAGTTAATTTTACTTGAATTCATGATGTTAGTATTAGTAATAAATAAATAAAATAATAATTTAAAAGAATAGAGTAATACTTAATCATTTTCGCTTTATTACTTATTACGGAATTCTGTTGAACAAATAAGACGTTAATTAAACATTTGTCCACGAAGAGCTAGCTAGACTCACAATAGGATTAAAATTTTCTAATTGACCATTGAGACATTATAGTGTCTAAGAGCCACAGATCACCAAGAGCCTTACCAACTATCAAAAATATATATTTGTCGGGAGCCTTTAGTTTAAATAATAATAAATTACTAACTTCTGACCAATTTGTACTAAGACAAGTACCGCTACTCTCTGTATAACTTTTTAACATTGCTCGCTTGGTATCATCATCCGCATCTCTATAAAGTTACTGAAACAATGAATTCAATGCAACTTCACCTTCCGGTTTTTCTAATTTCTTTCTCCAACTTCCCAATTTTTCGCGTTACGTGCTAATGAAGGATAAGTTATCTTGCCTAGAAAAAAAACACCCCGAATTAATAAGAATGTGACACCAATTTTTGATTCATATATTGATTAATTGATATTATTTATGTTTAAAACTATGTTTAAAATATGTTTAATTACCATCAGATGTTGAAAAAGATCCAGCAAGAGAATCATCTCCCTCAAGAACCCAACTTAATTCCAGCTTTGTCCTTTTTAAGCTTAACTTCAATTTTAGTGGATAATACTTCATATTTACATTCCTTAGGTAATATTTCATGAGCTAATGGATCAATCTCTAAAGAATAATCAGATCCAGTAGGCAATTTGACAGTAACTGATACCTAAATAATTTTAATAATACGCGTTAAAACAAATTATATTAAATATTTTTTTAAAATTTTAAAACAATAAACAATCCAGAAGCATTCGTACCTAATATCGTTAAGAAATAACTGCTAATAGGAATTAGATTTAAATTTAGATTATTGGTTGCTAAAATGTAAAAATTATATAGATTTATTACGTACCATACATATTTGTCCATATATCAGATTTTGTATTATACAATAGTAACATAATAGAAATATTGCTTCTAAGGTCTCTTAATCCAATAGTACTGATGTCAATATCATCTGTTACAATATTTTCGAAATCCTTCGATAAATTTAAAGAATGATATTGCCAAAGTTGATTTCTATATTTTATTATTTAAGGGAAGTTAATATTCGAATCTTATTAATTTTACAAAATGGATCTAGAATTTACAGTTCGATCAAAGATTCAGCCATAATTTCAACTAAGATACTTAATTTCCAAATTTTTAATTTGAATTTCTCCACAAGATGGCTATCCACCGATGGTCTGTTATCTGGTATTATATTCTCGGCTCTAAGAGTTCATATTTGTTTCCTATTATTAGACAATAGAAGCTAATCATTTAAATATATTATCACAATATCATTACCATTATTATTACATATTTACTTACTACTTCGGCCATTTATCCAACACATTAATTAAAAATTGAAGTGCATAATACCAGTGATTGAAGGTAAATATACTATCTCTAAGTCTAATAATAGCTTAACACTTTAGATACTAAAACATTTTATTCAAAATCACCTTGAGTTTTTAATTTCGAATTCAATATAAGAATATATTACAACTACTAGCGCTAAAACAATGCACTATCTAAATAACTAAAGATAAATCATTCAGCAATTTAAATAAAAAAGTTATCAATTTATTATCTAAAAATTATAACTTTAATAGAGAACAACAATATACATGTATTGTACTTATCTGTGAATTTTTTAATACTAAATCACAATTAAAGCTATATTTATATTATAAATATTTAAAATCCAAGAAGAAATTAACAATAGTTTGTAAGGGTATTAATAACAGATAAACATACAGAACGTTACGTCCAAAATCTAAATTTATATTTAAATCGTGTGTAACGGTAATACTATATTTATATACGTATACTGTACCAGACTTAAGATGGATAAATCCTATCTAAGTATTTTTCATTTTTTTTTAAAAACATTAATCTTTTAAATAACATAGGACTTATACAGGTTCTCTTTGCAGTTATTAAATTTCCAGCATCCGAGAAAAGTCTTTCACTAGCTGCTGAAGATGCGAAAACAGCTAAATACTGTTTTGCTAGTCTACTCAGAACCGGAAATTTGTTACGCCTCTCATGCCACCATACGAAAGGATCACACTCAATATCAATTTCTTCAAGCTGTAAATAGTCAGAAATCTCCCCAACCGTAACTGGTGTATGTTTTTTAAAACTGGAAAGTATGCTACTTTTAGTATTTTTCTTTGCAGGAGTTGATTTAACTTCTGTTCTAATATTTTTTTTCTCTTTATCTATATTATTTTTTATTTTATTATACTCCTCACGAAGTAAATTTTCAGTAGCAAATCGTTCAGAAAATGAAACAAAGCATAGATTTTTGCACCTGGGATCCAAAAGACTAGGTAAAAGTGAACTTGGTGATGTTAAATTATGCCAATAATGGTTCATTGCATTACACAAATTACTTTTAATTTCATCAATATCTATACTAATTGGTGTATATGCCTGTTCATCCTCTTCCTCATCACTTGTATCATCATCAAACAAGTCTTGGAAGTTATCATCATCATTATTAATATCCACTATATTATCATTATTAAAGATTGATGACTGACAATTTTTTTTAAGCTCACTTAAAATAGGAACCATTATTGAATAGGTGCAATAATTACTTCCACCTAAGTAATTAGTGGCTTCGGCGAATGGTTCGAGAATCTTTACTAGATTATTTATTGTATCCCACTCATCATCAAGAAGCATTATCTTTTTTAAATATTTAAAATCTTTCTTAGTATCAGGATCAGACTTGGCAGAAAGTAAGTTTATAAGAATATTAATATGATTTTTTAATTTAAGAAGCCGATTCCAGGCGAGATAAGAAGAATTCCAACGTGTTGGGCAATCGGCTATTGTATACAAGTATTTAGAAACTTTTGAAATGCCCTAATAAATTAAAATATTTATATTAAAAAATTATTATTATTATTTTGAGTGCCATATAACTAGTACTCTGCAAAATCAAATCAAAATTTGAATTTGAATCAAATATTTGAAATTATTTAATCAAATTTTTAAAAATTTGATCAAATAATTTCAAATATTTGATTCAAATTCAAATTTTGATTTGATTTTGCAGAGTACTACATATAGCAGCACTTATAAATAAATAAATAAGTATTATATCTTACTTCGAAATTATTATTATTATCATTTTCATCTTCATTCTCATCTTTATTTTCATCATTTTGAACACCAGGAAATTTCTTTTAAATTTCTTCAAGTCTTTCACTCTGCTTAGGTCGCATAAAAAAATCAATTAATCGCTTAATTCTTTTAACCAATATTTTTGCCGGAATTAATCCTCTTGCGATTACAAGTTGTAATGTATGTGATGTACAATTTAACCAATTGACTTTTTCCATATTTAATATAGCACTTTTCACATTACGACCATTATTTGTAGTAATAATGAACGTTTTATCCTGAATATTCCATTCGTCCATAATACCCCCTAATATTTCACTTATATGATCGGCAGTATGGAGATTTCGGACGTATTTTATTGTAAGGACGAATTCACACCGTTTATAATCATTATTAATAAAAGAGCATGTAATACCAAGATAACCTCGACGGCTACGAGCTATCCATAAATCTATACATAATGATACTGAAATTGCTTCATTAATTAATTTTTCTTTGAGGATTGGCAAACTATATTTATAGGCAGTATAAATTATTTTTTTAACCGTTTCCTCACAAGGCATAATAAAAGCAGGGTCTAAATCGTTGATGAACTTGCGAAATGCCTCATTGCTTACAACATTAATGGCCTGTGAATCCTTTATAATCCATGTCGTAAGTGACTGTCTTAATTAGGTTTGCCGGGCCTCAGAATGCTTTTTAATATTTGATACTTGATTATTATTCTATTATATATATATTATATAATTAAAAAATATATATTAAAATTAAGTATTAACTAATTATATAGTACGTAATACGTATTGTAAAATATTAACTAATATAGCAATATATTTAATTACAAACTTTAGTTTTTCCTTGTTTGGTTATTTCATGCGCATTTCGGAGATGCACAATTGCATTTCCTGTTGATCCGCTAGTATAGATGTATGATGTATCACAATTAGTGTTATCATTATTTTTCTCTTAGCAAGCAATAACTGGGATCTCTTCTCTATCTATGTCTTTAATTTTAGTTTCCTTGAAGTGCAGCCAGATCCAACTATTCTTGGTGTGTTTTTTAACTCCATTTAATGCTTTTTTTTTTTTTGTTTAGAGATTTAATTGAATTAGGATTATTAGAGTGTTTTTCTGACATTTTGAAAAAATAATACTGAAGACAAAACAAAAAATATTCAGAACCGACAAATAGTATACATATATATATATTTTTTGACAATTACGATTTAAAATTTATAGTTTTTTTTTTAAAGGACGCTGGACAGGGTACTTTTTATTATAATATTTTATAATTTCTAATTAGGCTAAAGAGTCGCAAACTACTTAATGTGTCACTAAATAACTAATTTTATATAACTAATAGTACTTTATTACGTTTATAGTCTTAAAAATATTACATGTTATATTATTATTATTTTCCTATTTATTAATCATAAATCAGGTACATACATACAGTAGATTAATATCTGGTCTATACAAAAATTGACGTTAAAATTAACAGGGATGGTAATTTAAGTTTGGATATTAATATTGGACAGTCTTTACGGTTTCAGGACTTTTTGATTAACTTTGATTATTTATTGGATGAAATCCTTGACTAGATGCTTTTATTCAGTATAAGTTTGTTGCCTAAATGTTGTTTACAATGATTTATTATAATCATCTCGATTTTATTTTAAATGAAATTATATCAAATTGATCAAATATTGATTTTTAAGTTCCTGAAGCCTTCTAATGGAAGATAATGACCCATATTTTAAATAGGCAGGTACGTATATACGTATAATATACAGTCTAAATATTCAGAGATTGAACGTTTAAATAGGCAGATACATACGTATGTACAATATACAGAGACTGAATGTTAAAATTAATGGGATAATAATTAAGTCTAGTTTAAACAGGCAGGTACACGTACAATATATGGTCTAAATATGCAAAGATTGACATACAATATATAGTTAAGGGATAATAATTAAGTCTAGTTTAAATAGGCAGGTACACGTACAATACGTATATGGTCTAAATATGCAGATATTGAACGATATATAGTTTTAAATAGGCAAGTACGTACATACATACATACATAATACGTATCCGGGTCTAAATTAGACTAAAACGACCCATTACTGCATTAAACTGTTAGGTCGTCTTTAACAATGTAGATATACTGTATATATCCAAAAAAAAAAACAGCAATTGCTTTGCAGTTTATCCTGTAATTGTCTTGTGGAAAAAGTGGTGCCTACTCGGTTGAATATTAAAACTGGCCAAGACCCTTAAAGCCTTGAATTGGCAGGCTAAAAGAGGCTCAAGATCTTTTGAGTGTTACTGCAGTAATGTTGGAGTTCAAGATAAGTATAACCTTGAATTACACTTTTACTTGTTATTGGTATGTCTCAGTTGGAGACTAAATATGACTTTTTTTCTTAAGTCTTGGCTCAACGGGTTCAGTATTCGGCTTCAATCGTTAAGATTCTTAACGATTGTCACGTGAATCACGTGGCTGCAAAATAAGTCGCAGTATCCGATTTGAGGTAACAATGACATTTGATCAAAGTTTGATCAATTGTATTTTATTATTTTATTATAAAAGGGGTTTTGGATTATTAATCGATACTTTCTCTTTCTCTTTTTTATTCTAATTTAAAATCGAAATTGGAAATCATGGGGACTTACTGCGATTTATCTTATAAGGGATATTTTATTATCGGAAGGGGTTAACACTTCTACTTGAATTTCGAAGGTTAAAACTCGAGTCTATGATTGAACACGATTTTAACAAAGATAATGGGGCAGAGAAAATAATAATTGAACGGTTTATTTTGGACAAAATTTCAAGATAAGTAAAAAAAGGAGTCACTACTTCTAATATTATGTTTTCGTGTTTAACTCAAATGAGTTCTGTTTTATTTCAGTGTGAAAGAACTTCACTTTTACACTTTTAACATCCTTAATTAATTCCGGGTATTTACATTGAATTTATGCACAAAATGAACTAAAGGCCATAAATACAGAAATGCCTTTAATGGCATTTATGGCCCAAGTGCCATTTATTAACAAAGAGGATTAAGTTCACTATGGGGACTATAATCAAGGTGAGTTCTATTTTTGAAATACCATCTATGTCAAGTTTCAACATATATATGTATAAATAATACTAATAAAAATAACAATAAAACTAGAAAAACGGTGACGTGATGTTTTGTAGGCTGGAGCCCTAATTCTTAGGTTTTACAATTTAGAATTAAATTTAAAATAATATTTGAATTTTATAAATTGCTATTATTTTTAAGATTACATGATTACATTTATAGCTTGTATTTTTATATTAATATTGTCATTATACTGGATCTATATTATTCTTCACTGAAAACTTTTTTGGTATCAATTTTCATTATTTAATAGAACCGAAGGAAAATATTTCTTACAAATAGGGCAATAATTATGTTTGAGTTTAGCGACTGCATCCTGAAACGTTTTGAGAAGATTACGATCATTATCAGTAATTTGACAGGTGGGTAATACATCATTTTTTAAATTAATAATTTATTGTATTATCGTTATAATTTTAATAAATTATTTATTGCATGTTATCATTATATTTTTAATATATTGTATCAAGATTTAGCTACAACAAAATCATGCTTCTATTTATTTTTGTCTTCTTTATATATCTGTTCATCTTGATTGATATTTTTCTTGTTCTTAATATGGCTATTATTAGCTATTGACTAACGTTTATGGCAAGCTTGTCTTTTTTCTGATTTTTTTTTCTATATACTAGCTACTATTCTTGAGTCATTGAACTCTTTTATTTTCTTCTCGCTTTATTCCTTATGGCTATTTGCTTGGATATATACAGTAGGTTCTTTTGTGGTTTGACATTTTGAAAAAATTTACCAAATTGAAAAAAGTATACACTTGCAATACAATGACATATTTTTTTATTTTATTTAATGTTTGCTTATGATATAATAACATATTTATGATAAACAGAATATCATGAAGTTATTAATAGTTAAAAAATTTTTACAAATATTTTTTTTCATTACTACGATACGTATTTTAAAGTCAGTTGCTATATTTTTTTCTTTACTACAATACACATTTTAAAGTTAGTTGCTATATTTTACTAAAATTATAGTATCCAAAATTGAATCTAATTTAGGTTCAATTTTTCAGATTTTGAACCTAAATCAGGACTATATAAAGCGGGGAACCGGACATTGCCGAAAATTTGTAGAGTATAGCTTGAAGGCTTCCGCTTCCTAAGCTCTAGCCAACTAAGCTCCAGCCAATATGATAATAAAATATAGGGCACCTGGGAACCCTTCACAATGTACGTACTTACAGGTATTTTTTGATCAGAGATTGTAAGCTAGATAATGAATTGCTTAATGAATTTACCTAATTGTGACTGAATTACTTACTCATATTTACTTTTGATCTTCACCTTATAGTTCATATTTTCTCTTGAACATATTTATTTAGCTATGAAATACACCTGTTAGATCAGCCATTAGATTAACTATTAGATCTTAACTGTTAGATCTTAACTGTTATATTACAGTATATAATACTTTACATCAATAGTTAGATATTAACTGTTAGATTATATAACTGACAAGTCAACTGTTAGATCTTAACCATTATATTATAATATCTTTTACATCAATCATTAGATCAACCATTAGATCTTAACTGTTAGATTTTATCGTTATATACTATATTAAATCAAAAACTGTTAGATCAATCGTTAAATCAGCTATTATCAACCATTAGATCTTAACTGTTAGATCTTAACCGTTATATTATATAATACTCAACCGTTAGATCAACCGTTAGATCTTAATTGTTAGATTTTACCGTTAGATCTTAACTGTAATATTATATAATACCTAACTGTTAGATCAACTGTTAGATCAACCGTTAGATCAACCATTAGATCAACTATTAGAGCTTAACTGTTATATAATACCTAACTGTTAGATCAACCATTAGATCAACTGTATTAATATGCACTCCTTGCATTAATACTTGCTCCTGCATTAATCCATTGGATATCCGGATATCCATCCATTTATCTATTTTATCCATTTAAAAATTTGATATCCGGATATCCATGGATAAATGGATAAATGGATAATGGATTGGAGCTCTAACTGTGCTAATAGCTAACAGGATTGCTAAGAGTTTAGCTTTGAAAGAGCAGAGCCAAAGTTTAATTTAAGCTTGAAAGGTATATTGTATTGTTTGTTTATTTATTTGTAGCTAACCAATATCTATAAAGCATTGAGGTTGTTTATATTTGTAACAAAACTATTAATATAAAAGATAAAATTATTTAAATTACTGTTTTGAATAGCAATATGTTGTAATATATCAAAGATTGAAAAATTAAAAAAATTTGAAAAGTTAAAATATTAAGGCTTAGTAAAAGAAAAGGAAAGCCAGGGTTTAAGAATATAATTAAATATAGAAGATCTAAATTATTAGCATAAAAGTTAAATAATTTGTCAAAGTTTAGTTTACCAAAGAATTTTATAGCCTGGCTAGTAAA